AGTTGGTGGCGGCGCTGGGATAGGCGGAGTTGCCGGGCTTGGTGGTGGTACTGGTGGAGTCGGTGACTTGGGCGGTGCAGGCGGCTTGGGTGGTCTAGGCGGCTTAGGAGGCGGCACCGGAGGTTTGGGGGGTCTTGGTGGAGTAGGCGGTGCTGGCGGCATTGGTGGTGGTGTTGGTGGCGGAGTTGGTGGCGGTGTTGGTGGTGGAAGTGGTGTTCTTCCCTACCCTTGAAGATGTAGTTCAAATATGGGATTGATTGTGTTGTGTGTTTACCTCTTTATGGGATTAATTTGTTAAAGTTTAGCTGTTTTAGTGTTTGGCAGTTAAGTTAGTTGTGTGAGATCATCACTCATGAGCTAAGGGTATTTTCTTAAATATTTCGTTTGTGTCTTCCTAATCCTAGTTACTAGTCAGTCAAACAATATTATATCAAGAAAATGTTTCCTTGTGCCTTATTAATATTATATCAAGAAAATGTTTGATTTTTATCTTTAGTATTAAACCAGTAAATGTTTCTGTTCTAACAAAAGTTCTCCCAGAAAGAAAAGAAAGAAAAAACATTCCGAGAATTCATCTGCATAAATATTTCATAATGGAAGCAATCGTAGTCGTGAAGGTCATGATCATCAGAACCATCACCAAAAAGGTCATTTACCAGAATCCAGATAGAACACCATTAACGATGACCTCCTAGGAAGTTCTTGTGTTGCGTCCTTTTTTTTCCTCATAAAAAAAAAAATAGAACATCATTAACTTGACCAAGAAATGGACATTGTTTTTTTTTTTTTTCTTGCTACAATAAATGAACGATAAATTGTTCCAGAAAAATGCAGCATTTCTCGTACGTCTACTTTTGATTGTGGCAATCTTGCCTACCATCAAGTCATCAAAGCAAAATCACCCACTTGACCAACCTAGCATTAACTTGGTCGATTGAAAGAGCTCTAGGCCATGAATGAGTTCATGTTGCAATGCTGGGTTTGAGTCTGGAGCACCAGTGAGAAATAACTCTCCATCTCTGTCACTGACAAAAATGTGTGGAACCCAGTAAAGATCGAGACTGAACACATAATGTGTGAAAAATTTAATACGTCTGGTAAAAAAAATTTATTTAAAAAAAAAAACCCATAAATGAGGTGACCCCCGAGTTAGCTTGGATGGCAACTCAATTATTGAGTGAATTGAATTAGTAACCAGAAAAGCATCCACCCTCTACAGAAAACAACAACCACCTTCTGCTTCTACTATAATGCATAGCCATAGTTAGGAGAAAGACTAACATCAAACGGAGATATCACTATTTTACTATTCGGGCCAATAACATTATGACACGCGTGATAACACTTTCACTTGGCACATTGACCGGAGATAACAAAACAATGATATCCCCACTGCAAAGTTTTTCTCCATAGGTAGCCAGGTCGATCTCCTAAGTGTTTGGTTGTGATTTTTTTGTTCTTTTCTTTTTTTAGTTGAGAAGCTATGTGCAGTAAAAGAACATGAGCACGTATATAATATATACATGTTTCCTTCATGATAGCACAAAAAGCATTCCATGGGCCCATGTTTTTGGTTTCCTTAAATCTGTCTTCATTTAATCAAGGATAAGGTACAAGTGATTCAATTATCAAGAACATTAGTGTAATAAATAAATACTAATCTCCCTTTCTCTTGAAACTTTTAATTTAAGAGATGCGTGACCACATAAGGATAAGGTCATGAATATTTTGTTTAATCATAGGCTTAAAAGCACTTTTTGTTGGGCAATTGATCTGGGACAAGCACTTGAAGATAGGTTTCTTTCTACGGGCTTCATCAGTATGAGCATATCCACAAGGGAAATAATTGAAGGGCAAATTGGGTCAAATTTATAAGTCCATGTCCAACTTTCCTCAATACGTTTGTGATTGACAAAAAGTTTATTACTTACTGTTACTACTTATAATTACCTGACTAATTATGTCACAAACTGCACACAATAAGTTTAATTTCCGTATGTTACACTAATCTCTTACTGAACGTATATAAACACTCATCATCCGCCTATAAAAGCTATAGTAAGAAAGAATAGGCCTAATCAAATCAAACCAAACCATGAGCACCATGTCAAGCAACACGGTTTTCTTACTTGTAACGACGCTGTTAGCCATGGCTGCTCCATGCAACGCTAACTTTCCTTATTATTTTGGTGACTTCAAAGTAAGCATTCGAAACGGATTTAGCGGGAACATCAAGTTGGAGGTGAATTGCACATCATTTGACGATGATTTGGGCAGGCATTGGCTCCGAAAGGGAGAGACTTACAGCTTTAGTTTCCACACAGACATTTTGGGCACAACAACATGGGATTGCCGTTTAGCAACACAAGATGCTCCTCTTGGCACCTCCCAATTGTTCAAGTGTGACTATGATTTTCTCAAAAAGTGCGATTTCAGAGAGTGCAAATGGGATGTCAGGGACGACACAGAATATTTGCTAGACATTCCCCAAAACAAATATGTACGCTGGGCTCATACTTAGTTTAGTTGATGCTTTTCAATAGCTAGCCCTGTGCCAATTACAAGTACAAGAAGATTTCGTTTGACCTATCCCTATAATATGAGATTTATATTTATGTTTATAGATTTAAGAATTGTTTATTAATCTTGCCATGCTACTTGTCACTCAAATTTATTAATCTTGCAACAATAATGTCAAATATAATATATTCTTTTTGTTTCTTATCATATGATGAGAACTTAGGATATCGCATTCACACTCATCTAAATGAGACTTAAGTTAGATCTCACCAGACGACGACGTACAAGATATCAAATATCACGCACCCTATGTTCTTATTGAATGACTTGCGATGTTAAAGAAAAAAAATTGGTTTTTTTAAAGGAATCTTGACTGTACGAAGCTTTATATTAAATACTGAAAATCGAAAGAAAAGATGTAATACTTGACAATAATTACATTATTCTGTCTCTCCATGAATATCAGAAAACTTGGACTATGACGATCGATGATTTTGTTGATATTGCAATATTCATTGATACTCTAGTATTACTCATCAACTATTAGGTTCTGATTATAACTTCTCAACACTCATCAACTCTTATTTTCTGATTATATAAAATGCCTCCCCATTAGATTTATTTTTAGCGTTATTATTTCTCAATATTGTGCATGCAATCAATTTCACAAGATCTTTCGTATGAATTAACATCTCATTAAATCTCAAGTCAAATGTGCTTTTGGATCGTCATAATATTCATATTGTTAAAATTCCAAGTACATAATGAATGTAAAAAGAGCAAAAACTTGGAGCAAAAGGGAAAGCATTATTGAATACTAGAAATCGAAAGGGAAGACGTAATATACCTGACTCCAATTACATTATTCGTCTCTCCATGCATATCATAAAACTTATTGAATACTAGAAATCGAAAGGGAAGATGTAATACCTGACACCAATTACATTATTCGTCTCTCCATGCATATCATAAAACTTGGACTATGATGATGATTGTGTTGATATTGCAATATTCATTGATAAACACTCATTAGATTCTGATAATAACTTATCAACACTAATAATTCTTATTTTCTTATTATATAAACACGCCTCCCATTAGATTTATTTTTAGCGTTATTATTTCTCAATATTTGTGCATGCAATCGATTTCACAAGGCCTTTCTTATGAATTAATATATTTCATTAAATCTCAAGTCAAATATGCTTTAATTTTCATGTTGTGCGTGCCAAAGCATAAATACCAATCTTCCCACGCCATCATATATTAGTCAAAATTCCAAGTACATAATGAACCGAAAGGAGCCAAAAACTTGGAGCAAAAGGGAAAGAAAAATAGGCACGACAATGAGCCCAATCAGCAAAACCCACCTACTTGTTCTTGGTTTTGCAATAGCAATAAGCCCCATCTGGTGCTCTCCTTCATCCAAAAGCGAAGTGTTTCCAGAATTCACAAAATGGCATGTCTACGTCGTCAATGGATTGAACGACAACCAGACTATGTCGGTCCACTGTAAATCCAAAAACGATGATTTGGGCATTCAAAATCTGCCACAAGGGGCAAATACGACATGGAGTTTCAGAACAAACTTCGTCCACTCAACTCTTTTTTGGTGCTACATGAGCAAGGCCAACGTCCATGCTGCCCTAAAAGTCTTTTGGCAAGACATCTATCTCTTTCAGAAATGCAATTGGAAGAACTGTATTTATATAGCAAAAGATGATGGGGTTTACATAAAAGATTTTCCAAACGATTGTGATGTGTTTGCCAAGAAATGGGAAGATGGATGGCGATGATAATAATCAAGATTTCAATGTACTAGTCCAATTTGTTCAGAATTTTGTGTTTATTAATAATTGAGGTTGTATATGCTTCTTCTTTAAAATAAAATTTTCGTTGTTTTTTATTTTATTTTTATCTTTATTAATTATTCTTTCGTGCTTATCCTCTTTTGTTGTATTTAATTTGTATCCAAAAAGCAATAAGGACCACATCATCGATACAATGAATTGAATTTTATTCAATTAAATAAGATGCCACCAAATATAATTTTGAAACTTTTTTGAGATAAAAATGATAGAGTGTATTTATAATTCAGGCACAAAAGTCGTCAGTGAGCCAGTACAAATACATATAACTACACAAGGTTATTACAAATACTGAAGCGCAGTAACTACAAAGGTGTAAAACAAATACTAAGGACTCCACCAACAACATCAGGTGCACAAGTGTACCTCCACGCATAGTCATAAATTGAATCGTCTTTATGCTTCAAAATATTTCATAATTTTAGAAAACGGGAAAAATAAGGATGGCAAAAAAAAACTTATGGATAGGAAAGAGAGGCAGATAATTCCTTAGTTAATTCAATGAATCTATAGTCGAACGTCATTAATATGCTTCCTTTTATGAAAATATGCAAACTTGGAAAAGAGTTATATGGATAATCCAAAGTTCCATAACGAGATCAATTTGGCAATATAAAACAAGAAAATGACCCTAACGTTACATACAGAACACAAAACAATGAGAGCTTTCAAAGGATATGTGGTTTTCTTCGTCTGTGTAGCAATATTAGCCCTCAGTGCCCCATGTCTTGGAAGCCCTGTGGGAATTCGTTATAATAGATGGCATGTTCACGTGGTTAACAACTTGAGCGCCGGACAAACATTGTTTGCGCATTGTAAATCCAAAGACGACGATCTAGGCGAGCGAAACCTTGCACCGGGGACTGAGTTCAATTGGAGTTTCAAAGAGAATTTCTCAGGAACGACGTTGTATTGGTGCTACATGAGCACGGGCCAGAAGCATGCAGCATTGGATGTGTTTTGGGTGGAGGGTGAACATAGTTGGCTTCAGTATAGATGCAATTGGAAAGATTGCATTTGGATTGCGAAAGATGATGGGATTTACATAAAGATTATTCCCGAAAATCGTGATGAGTTTTCTCATAAATGGGAGGTGTAG